TGCAAAACTGAACCTCTATACGCCCATTTGTTTCGGCTCATGTTTCAGTTCACTTATGCTTTTTCTCACCCTGGATGACACACCAGTTGACTACTGCCTTTGGACTTTTCTTATTTTTAGTTCGACTACGAAATCCCCGCCGATCAGCTCTCCTTCCTTAAAGTGCTCAGTGACAAAGCAAAGCAGGAAATTACTGTTAACTGCAGACAGAGCTCGGTCACTGAATCTGGTTTGGCCTCTCGCCTGCTTGCTGACAATGACCTCTACTTCACAGCTGAGGGGCCCCTATTCCGCTACAAGGTGCTCCTGGATGACTGTCAGGTATGCGTTATTGTTTAGGTTCTGCGGAACACCAGTGTCCAAGCCGACTTCTGTCCAGAAGTGTAGTCCTATCAGCAGTTTCACACCGACATTATTAAATTTTTGAAACAGGACTGCATAGGAACAGGGGGTTTGACAGGCATTTAGTATTTTACACCAACAGGTGAACCGCAAACGTCTCCTTCGGAGAGGAAATCAAAATCAGTCAGTGGGATAGGTGAATGCAGGTTCTGTGCAATCTTGTGCTGCTTTCTATGCTTGCACGGTTGGTCAAGCAATTCGTGCTGGTTATTTGGATGTAGGCAACCAAGTGTTCCGTCGGGGCTCCGGACGTGTGCTCAGATTGTAGAGAGATGTAGAGATGGTGGAAAATGTTGGCGAGGCTGCTTCGCCTAATCTGACTTTGTTGGGATTTCTGCTTGCTGTGATTTTGTGTTCAATTTGAGCTTTAGCTTTGAGCTAACAATTAAAAACGTTCAAATGGCCGACCGCTGGTGGGATTGGTCCTCGATATTGTTCAGCATTCTATTTTTGGGCACTTCTTCTTGGCCTCATGCACTCGGTTGGTTTCAAATTTAACAAGGCCACGAACCTTCCTAATAATTAAGTGAGCCTAGTAGGCATTCTGGCGGATTCTAGGTAATTGCTTAGGAAATCCTGCCTGGACAGTCAGCTTACTGTATCCGTAATGGTGGATTCCACGCGTGCAGTAGGTTGGGCGGGCGGGTAAATCGAACCAAGTGTGATTAAATTAACGATTCATGGCGAGCCTTGTAGCTCCACGGTGGAGTGTTAGCAGCGCAATAGTCCGCCCTGCTGTGTGGGTTCGAATCGCACCGAGGCCACGAATTTTTCACAATTGGGTCAATTAAATCAAAGGTAACCGTCCCGATTTTTACGGGAAATCACGATGTTTGCAGGTATTTTGGAAGAATCCACGAAGTCTTTGGTCTGATTCCCGGAGATTTGAGTGAACTGCGGTACGGTGACCATGCCGCTTTATCACGCTCGGTGACGACTCACAGCGCCGATATCATTTTATTATATCAGACCGCTGCTGAGACGGTGCTTGATTCTTCAGGCAATTGGCTTTCCAAGTTTGCAAGTTCATGAAGGCGTCTTTTGGTTTTCTAAAATTACAGGATCTAGCTAGCTAGAATGCCCTCGTTACATCTGGCAAAAAAACGATAGGAGCAAGGAAGCGGAGTGAGCTTCCTGTTGAGATGAAAAAATCTAAAAAGGTGTTTGCACTAAGCGAGATAAGGTTTAAATGGAGAAACATGCAGTCTGTCCTATAAGTCGGTATGCCACGATGC